GTTCTGGGGGGTGCAGGGATGGACCGTGAGCCACTGGAGAGGGACTGGAAGGGGCCTGGGCTGCTCAGGGATACACTGGGATGGACTGGGATGGTGCTCGGTGTGCTGGGTGGGACTGGGCTGCTGTTGCTCCCCCATCCCCCCCAGTGTCCCCAGAGCTCTACCAGTGTCCCCAAGGCCCCCCACTCATGTCCCCAGAGCTCCTCAGTGTTTCCAAGGCCCCCCACTCGTGTTCCCAGAGGTCTTCCAGTGTCCCCAAGGCCCCCCAGCTCGTGTCCCCAGTGTCCCTGGGGCTGCCCTGCCATCCCCATGTCCCTCCTCACCCCGGGGGCTCCCGTGGTGTCCCCCCCGTACCCGTGACATCCCCAACATCCCCCCCGTGCCCATGACATCCCCAATGTCCCCCCGTGCCCGTGACAATCTCAACATCCCCCCTGTGCCCGTGACATTCCCAACGTCCCTCTGTGTCCGTGACATCCCCAACGTCCCCCCCATGCCCGTGACATCCCCAATGTCCCTCTGTGCCCGTGATGTCCCCAACATCCTCCCCATGCCCGTGACATCCCCAACCCCCCACGTCCATGATGTCCCCAATGTCCCCTTTGTGCCTGTGACATCCCCAATGTCCCCCTGTGCCCGTGACATCCCCAATGTCCCCCTCCATGCCTGTGACATCCCCAACATCCCCCCATCTCTGTGACATCCCCAATGTCCCCCTGTGCCTGTGACATCCCCAATGTCCCCCTGTGCCTGTGACATCCCCAATGTCCCCCTGTGCCCGTGACATCCCCAATGTCCCCCTGTGCCCGTGACATCCCCAATGTCCCCTCCATGCCTGTGACATCCCCAACATCCCCCCTGTGCCTGTGACATCCCCAATGTCCCCCCATGCCCGTGATGTCCCCAGTGTCCCCTTTGTGCCTGTGACATCCCCAATGTGTCCCCAATGCCAGTGATGTCCCCAACGTACCCGTGACATCCTCAACACCCCCCTCATGCCCATGACATCCCCAATGTGTCCCTTCCGTGCCCGTGACATCGCCAGCGTCCCCCCATGGCTGTGACAATCCCCAATGTGTCCCCTCCGTGCCCGTGACGTCCCCAACGTGCCCCCCCAGATGAAAAACGCCGATTACTTCTCCAACTACGTGACCGAGGATTTCACCACCTACATCAACCGGAAGCGGAAGAGCACCTGCCA